GTTGCTGGGCATGCTGCTTGTTGCGTGACGACTACGTCACCGTCGTCGTGTGGGAGAGGGAGTGCTTTTGTAACCCTAGCTAGCTCAACATATATATGTAACCATGAACAGCCGAAAGGCTAAGTGTGCAAGTAATAATAACATAAGAAGCTGGAGAGGCTGATCTCTCCCGTGGACTAGTCCCGATCAATCGGGGATACCACGTAAACACCGTGTCTTTTCCTTTTGCTTTGTGTGATTGATTCGTACGAGTTCTCAGCTATCGACCAATTAGGAACCGTCATCGCTAAGCTCTAATTTTGGATTGGGGAGAAGAAAGGATTTTGAAGCGGCACGACTACGGTCGAGGGTCTGGGTCACGATCTCCCTCCCTTTGATCGACAGGGGTGCGATGGTAAGTCATTGAAAAGGATCCTAGTCACCATAGATCTAGCTCCGTCGTCACTCCATCGATTTAGCGGTCGAGCATCTCTGAAAGCAATTGCTGGTAATTCTCGTTGCCAATGGAAGAAAGAATATGGTGCAGTGAAAGTGAAACGGTGAAGAAGAGGAAATGATGGGGGAAGAAGAAGTTACAGAGGAGAGGAATAGCCGAATAAGAGTTGGGGGGGGGGGGGAGAATAATTGGATTTGGGTATAATTTTAATTTTGAGTTGTTCCAATAAAAACCTATACTTAATCCAAACATGTTATTTAACTACAATCCTGTTAGAATATGACTTGAATTTGATATGAGTTTGTGTTTGCGGTTTGTTTAGACCTTTTCCTTGTATGTTTGGGAAAAGGTGTTTGGTTTTCTATTTGGGATTAGGAGAAGAGTTCTATAAATACTCTTTATCACCCTAATATATTGTAAGGTCAGTTATGTTAGTTTGTTTGGTTTGTCCGTTCCAGAATTTGGTTTCTAACATGTACTCTCCTCAAATTAGTGAAATTTGTTTTCCCCTGCCCGTGGATTAGCCAGCACACATTGTGTTAGTGAACCACATTAAATTCGTGTTCGTTTGGTTCGATCTAGATTATCGATTGCACGCATCTGTTTTGACAAGAGCATTGTTGAAACAATAGGGTTTGTGGGCACCGTTGTCTGAAAAAACAAAGAAAAAAAGCAGACATGAAGAAGAGTGGAGTATTTTGGAGGAGAAAGCTCACTCTACAATCTTGCTTTGATTGGCTGATGACATATCACCGAGATTGTTGTTGAGAAGACTGTTGTGGTCTTGTGGTTGAAGCTTGAAAGTCTATACATGACAAAGTCTTTGACCAAAAAGTTGCATCTGAAGCAACGTCTGTTCAGTTTGCGTATGGAGAAAGGTATGTCTCTCAGGAATCATCTAGATCAACTCAATACTATCTTGTTAGATCTGCTGAATATTGATGTTAAAGTAGATGCTGAGGATGCTTCCTTAATTTTTAGTATCTTTGCCACAGTCATATGAGAATTTTGTGGATTCTTTTATTGTCGGGAAAGATAGTTTGTCTTTGGAAGATGTCAGATCTGCTTTACATACTAGAGAGATTCAATATAAGGCGTCTGGTTCTGGTTCGGAAAATCAGGCATCAGGGGTTGGCTGCTACGGGTAGTAGGAGACAACAATCTGGAAATAGGAAGGCGAATATAAATTCGAATTTTGTTGGTTTGAAGGATAATATATGTCATTACTGTAAGTAGAAAGGACATTGGAAATTTGATTGCCCTAAGCTAAAGAAATATCAGGAGAAGAAGGAATCAACTGATGTTGTGGAAGAAGAAACTAACTCTTATTCTGAAGATGGTTTAGCCTTAGCAGTGAATGAACAGTACATCATCAGGATGTGTGGTATTTAGATACTATAGCTGATTATCATATGTGTCCAAGCAGGGAGTATTTTTCAACTTATGAGCAGATAGATGGAGGACATGTATCGATGACCAATGGTGTTATCTTCAAGATTGTTGGAAAATGCTTCATCAAGGTGAGGACACATAATGGTTCTGTTTGCACCTTGAACAATGTTAGACATATTCCAGAGATGACTACGAATATGATATATTTGAGTCTACTTGACGGCAAGGATTTCAGTTTCAAAGGCGAAGTGGAGTGTTGTCTGTCTACAAAGGTTTTAAGGTGATTCTGAAAGGTGTTAAGGTTGGTGCCTTGTATAGTCTACATGTTCTGTTTTGACATGTTTTGTTGGTGATAAGTGCACCAAGTTGGTTCTGAATGACAAGTCTCCACATGGGTCGGACTTGCCGAATGATTTGATTTGTTGACCGCCCTCAGGGGCATTTGGAGGCAGCGGAGATTCTGTCACATTTGGAGATTTGGAGAGTTTGTTACGTCTGCGATTTTGATTTCATCTGCGTATGGCGATTTGCATTGCGTTTGAGTTTGGCGATATGTATCGCGTTTAGGCTACACTTGGTTTGGCAAATCCGAGAAGGTGGACCTCAGTTTGGTGGGACCCTCTCATTCGGTAATCTCATGATTTGAGATATGCGTTTGTTTGGCGGATCAAGTGAGGTCCGCATCTGGGAAGGAGATCAAAGAGAATCATGCGTTTGGAAAATCCTTGTACCGAGAAGCCCATGGATACAAGTTGTCTGGTGGATCAAGATAATCGCTGAGGAGAGGACACAAAGTTCGTGGTCCTTGTCTTGAGGGAAGGATTGTTATGGGACAATCCAAGTACCACATTGGAAATACAAGGGAGGGAACCCTTCTATATTAGTTTCCACCTAGACCAATTAGTACGAGACGTTTTGGGGAGGACACTCAGTAGAAAAACCGTGCGGGCTTGGCCCAAAGCGGACAATATCTTACTAATTGAACGCTCCGGTTATGAAAAATCCCAATTCAAAATATTTGGGTTTTTTAATTAGGAATTTGAACCACAATCCCTCATAAGTAAAATTCATCATCCAAACAACCCCTTAGAAGAATGAATTGCGTAGTTGTATTGATGACTAATTTTAGTGAAACTAAATTCAGATTTAGAGAATTATGAGTAATCTAATAATATTGAAATATAAGTTTAGTAATTGTAAATATTATTTTAATAAATAGCTAATTCTTATTGACTTGTGTTTATGCGCTCATGATGAAATATTTTGGAAGAATGAAATGCTCAGTTGTACTACTTATGATTACATTAAAACTAAATAGATTTTTTTTTGAATTATGAGTGATTTAATAATACTTGAGTATAAGTTTAGTTCATTGTACATAATAACCCACTATTTATATGCACAAAGTTTCCAATATTTAATGTGCAATCCGAACCATCTTTTTAGTGTTTATATATGACGTTATTTATTTAGTATTTGGTATATGCTTATACCATATAACAATATTTCATATTGAGATTGATTTTTATCGTTATTTAGCATTTGATATACAAAAGACCGATTTCTCCTACTCATAGCAAATTCTATACACTAATTAATGAGTAGTGACATGTAAAACCGGCAAATAAGTAACATGTAATTATTCATGAATCTCGAACTTGAGAATTCACTGTATAACCATAAAACATATGCACACCAATATGACATCTTTGAATTGATAAAGGGCAACTTGCCTAATCTATAGCAAAAAAACGTGGGAGAAGAGAGGAGAAAAAAAATCCTTTAAAGTAGATCCAAGCGAAAGGGAAATGTGCCTAATCGAAAGATGAAAAATGTGGGGTAAGAATAATAAATCATACGTGGAAGAAGAAAATTATGCGACATGGTATGAAATTATATCATGGTGGTATGAACACCGTAAAGTGTAAAATGGTTGCTTACATGATAAAATAAATATATTAATTATCATTTACCACATGTCATCAATGTATACCAACCAGTTACCACCCTGTGCCATGGTGGTACTTTTTGTCCTGAATTATTTTTCCTAAAATTTGTAAATCTAATAGATCACGACGAATTCTTCATTTTGGGCAAAAAATTTCAAAATTTGAGTAAAAAACAAAGTTTATATTAGGTGGTACAGGGAGGTAACGAGTGGTATGAATTGTTTTCCATAAAAATATATTGAAAATGGATATCCTTTGTATATGACAAAGAACTTGTTCCTTTTGTGAAAATTTTGAAATACAAATTATTACGAAGAATATAAAATCCAATTAAGGAATTAAGGAAAAACGTCCTTTATTCTCAACTATTAGATCCAACCCCATTTAAAAGTAACCGTTCATATCTGGTTATGCAAGGTTATACACTCATTGCTAAGCCATGGGAAACCCTATATGCCTAAAGTGTGGAGACTACTAACATGAACTCATAACTACACTAGCATACATAATTATCATGAAGGACTACCTAATCATCCTAGTTTCATCAACATACTGTCTCTCCAAAATCGTAGGGAAAAAGACTATTCCTTCATTTCATGCCATGTTAGTATGAATGTCAGCATGTATCTAGTTTTGTCAGTTAATTCTTGGAATGACGGAAAAGTCCATTAGCATTGTAAAAATCCTAGGTATATGATGAAGATCGCTCACAAGGGATAACAGGTTTGTCATTGAGATGCAATACACCCAAGAGCAGCAGACAAGGAAATTGCACGAATAGAACCCTCCACAACACAATTCCAAATCAAGGACCCCACTTGGAATGTTTTCATGTGTTTTCTTCTCCCGCCTTCTTTCTTTCTTTCATTTTTTTAGTCTATTATGACACCACTGATTTGATTAAAGGTAGCTGCCCTTCACATTGTGCATGTCTATGTTAAAGTTTCTGTCCACTCTCTCTCTCTCTCTCTCTCTCTCTCTCTCTCTCTTTCTCTCTCTCTCTCTATTCCTTTACACTCATCCCCCCACCATAAAGATAAAGCTGCCCGATTCAAACCCTCCATTCAACTCAAAACCCACAAAGCCAATTCATCAGTCACCCACATCTCATATCATATCATATACTCTCCTCCAATACCACCCATCTTCATCATCATCATCATAAACAACAACTACTACAAAAATCTAGCAATTAAGCTCTCCCTCACCTTTAGTTTCCTTCCCCTTGTTAGCTTTTATTTGCCACCAAAAGAAAAAGGTTGGATCCAATCCCATCTTCCCCTTCCTCCCTCCTTTCTTCCCTTTTGCTAGGTTTTTGGATTGTTGTAGATCCACAAAGCAAATCACCACCCAAAAGAGATAAAGGAAAAGGCAAAGAGTTAAAGGAAAAGGAGTGGGAGCTATAGGGGGGGAATTGAAGATGATTCAAGAGCTCTTGGGGAGTGGCCTAATTAGTGGAGAAAGGAGGATTAATCCCATCACCACCAATGGAACCATTCTACATGCCACACCACCACCACCTCATACTTATTCTCACAACCATCACTCTTCTCCATCCCCTTCTTCAGCAACAACTACACCCACCACCACCACCTCCACAACCCCAGTTGGAGCTCTGCCTGCCACAGGCACCGCTCCGTCGTCTCTCACCAACTCATCTGCACCTTCTTCGTCGTCATCGCCTGCAGCTGGAGAGCACCTGAGATGCCCTCGTTGCGATTCGTCCAACACCAAGTTCTGCTACTACAACAACTACAACCTCACCCAGCCTCGCCACTTCTGCAAGACCTGCCGCAGGTACTGGACCAAAGGTGGCGCCCTGAGGAACGTTCCCATCGGCGGAGGATGCAGGAAGAACAAGAGCACGAGCGGCTTGATCTCATCGTCGTCATCCTCCGCCGTGGTCTCAACATTCGGAAAGCCTAGTACCACCACCACCGACAAGCTCAAGAGCCTGGCGGTAGGGTTTGGAAACTCATCATCGTCCCCATCACTTTTCGGTGCTAGTTTGTACGATCTCCATCATCATCATCATCAAGTAGACCTCCCATCTAGCCCTATCCTATGGGGATCAGCTTCCCCACAAAACAACTCCCACGGCCACCACTTCCTCTCCTTGTTGAGATCATCACCAAACCCTAACCCTAACCCTAGCTCCATCCCTACACCACCACCGGCTTCCTCAGCGGTTAAGGACGAGCACCCAAATGGTATCATCGGCAGCTTGTTCGGGCCGAATAGTACCTCTCCTACCACCAGCCACTTGAAGATGTTCGAGCCGCCGCCGCCTGCGACGACAGCTCGAACCCTAGCCGGGTGGGACACGTCATCGTCGGTCAACAACCAGCAGCAGCAAGCCACTTTGCTTGGTCTTAATAACTATCCTCCAATTCCAATGTGGACGGGCGACAGCAATGGAAACGGCTACCTAGTTGGCAGCGATGAACCGCATCATCATAATAATAATAATAATACAGGGATGCAGGAAGTGTACCAAAGGCTGAAGGCTTCCACTAGTACAAGTGGTTATGATGTTTTCAACGAGAATAATAACGTGGGTTCTACTTCTTCTTGCTTTTCGTCGGCGGGGGTTGCTTCATCTTCGTCAACGGTGGCCGGAGGAGGAGGTGGCGGGTTCTCGGGTTACATCTGGAATCCGGCAGCTTTTACATCTTCTACTGCTACCGCCACTGTTGCTGCTTCATGGTCGGATCTTCCCACCACCGCAAATAATGGTACCGCTTATCCCTAATTAATTATCAAGAACCTTCCGGCGGCCGGAGTTTATTTCTCTCTTTCTTTTCCATGGGATTTAAATCGATAATTTTCACTTTAATTTGATCTTTATATTGGGGGTGTTTAAGCCAAGAGGGGTTGCTCTTGTAATTCAGCTGGTATATGAGTTATCTCTGTTAAATCTGTTTTTCTTTGTTTTGGTTCATTAAGTGTGAGGTGTGTTTGGAAGACTTGGGAAGGATATAATATATGTTAATTTTTTATATATTGTGGCTAGGGATGGAAATGAGTCGGGTTGGATTTTTTTGAACTCAAATTTAATCCAGCGGGTTACCAGGTAAAATACGTATTAGGTTTTATAAGAGAATTTAACCCAACTCAAGTTAGGTAGGGTTGGGTACTCCTGGATTCGAGCTTCAGTGACATTAGAAATGGTGGCCTACCAAAAATTAGTGGTTGTATGTAGGGGCATACAACGGCTCAGTTCGACCCTTATGAGAACCGCAATCCAAGTAAAAGAAAAGAACGGATTTGGTCCGATCTAAATGATAATTCGGTTCATTTTTCTTCGGTATTTGTAAAATTCATATAATTCGGTCAAGTCAATAAGGTCCAGTACGGACTAAATCGTTACACACCCTAGCGGTATGGCTTGATGATTTAAGCGTTATTTAAGAGAAAATGAACGACTAGGTTTAATTATTATTTTAACTAAAGAACATACACGTGTCTCGTGACTCATTATATACTTAGCCATAGCATTGATTACTTTTTAGGGTTGGGGGCCTTGCACGGAAGAATATATATTGGACAAATCAAAGGCTTTATTAGTTGGGGTAATCTGCTTTTCAGATGCATCATTTGGTTTTATCAAGGAAAGCTGGTGGGTGGCAAATGGGCATATGCCTATAGATTATAGGGTATACCCTTCCATTTTTAAAATTATCGAAGGTCACCCTGCAGATTATATTAAGGAGAAAGTGAGATTGAGATATACATATGTAGATGAGATCTAGAGATATGTATGTAGATGACAGGGAAGGCAGTAGGGTAGCGCCTGAGAGAGATATTCTGTCTTCAGAAAAAAGGTATAGGGGCGCGCCATGGCCTTTGAGGAAAGAAGAGCTACCTGTCTTTCTTCCATCTTTTTTTTTTAATGTCTCCAAAACACGACATAGAACAGAGCTGCTGCAACAACAAAATAATTGATTCTCTCATGTTGATGGTTGGTTGGTTGGTCTGTTGGGATGGGAAGGGGAAGAAGGTGGGGAGGGAGAGGGGAGAAAAGATAGATTCCATCTTCAGCTTTATGTCAAAAGATATATAGAATAGATTGGTTATAGCTACTAGCTAGCTTTAGCTAGCATGCATATAGCTTGGTTTCTGTCCCATATCCTTCCTTCCCTTTTCTACTTCCTTCATTCCTTCAATATATTTACTTTTCCCTACGTGCTGATGTGAATTATTTGAAAGCCCTACGAGCTGAAGTAGTGATTTTTTGTTTTGTTTCAGATTGTTAGAATGGTTGTATTACTCACGGTTATAGGTATCAACCGCGGACAGGTTCAACCGGGCTTGGGTTTGGGTTCAAGTATGTTGCGGGTACGTAGGGTTTCATGTCCATCGAGTTGCGGGTTAGTTGAGTTACGGGTTCATCGGGTTGTGGGTCATTCGGAATAGCGGCCAGACGGGTTGCGGGTAGATATGATCGGCACATCGAGAAAAAATATGTGCTTTTCTGAATAATTTATTTATTATTTATTATAGCTCCTCATATGATTTGTATTATCATACGTCAATACCAGAACAACTAATAAAACTAAAAGAACACATTCCATATAATGTGTTCATCATTTTTTAGCACCAAGATCCCCAAATTCGCGGAGTATACCAGTCATTACTATATATATAGGTCAAGCGGGCAAGTTCAAATTGAGTTAGTTGAATTACGTGACTGTTGGATCACGGGACGATTGGGTAGCGATTCGTTTGACTTTTAGTTCAACTGAGTTGTAGAAGGGTTACTCGGATCGGGTTATATTTGACAGCTCTATTCACAATGCATTTTTTCTAATTTTATACCCAAAAAATATAATTATCATTCAAATTAGGGATAGTTAAATCTCATTTTTTTAAATGAGATAGTTTGGTTGAGAATGTTGAAATTTTGTTCTAATCATATTTATGACTTTTATGCATGCGCTTTCTTATATTAAAAGCAAAGGGTAAAAATGATACTTCAATAAAAAATGATGTAACCCACAATACAACAATTTCCTTAACTACATTCTACATACAATATTATACATGCATTGTCAACAATATATCAATTTAACTCATACAAAACCAAACAATTGCTTGATATGTAAATGTGAGTGTAACAATACATATAGTTTCCTATTAACATTATTTTAATGTATTTGAGTGAAACTCAAACTGACTATACAATTTACGATAAAAGAATTGAATATACAATTTAAGTGCGTCACATAATAATTCTATTATTTGAAGATATAAAGTATGATTAGAAGAGTATGTGTGTGCAAATATTTAGTGAAAAATACATTCGTTAATTTGTAATAGTAGAGAAATACAAAATGCTATTATCATAAACTTAGTTTGGTGAAAGCGAATGACGTAAGGGAAGGAAATTAGTAGGTGATTATGTAAGGTGTAGCTAGAATGATTAAAATTTGGCGGGATGATGGTCTAGGTTAGCCGGTCAACCAAAAGGAAACCTTGTCCTTCCCTAGGGCATAAAAAGTAAACCCTAACACATGTATCAAGAATATAATTGAGAATGGAGACTGCTTGGTATGATCATTATAAATTGAGTAATATTATACAGTTATATGGAAGTGCTCCGGCTAGGTTTTGCTAAAGAAGTAATTATTTTAATTTTTAGTAGAAATGGAACAAAACTGTTTTTTGCTAAATTATAATAACTTTTGCCAGATTAATTTAAGACTCAGGTTCTAGTGCAAACCCCGTTTATATGATGATACCCATTATAAAGAGGTAAGACTAAGAAGGGAAATTAGGGTTTTTGGGATAGTTCACTGATTTTTTTGGAGCTTATGCGAATTTTCAAGTGAAGAAAAATATTTTCCAAATTTTTTACGAATATTAACCGACTATATTTCATTCATTTTACATCGAATTCACAATTTATTGCATAGAAAAAATTATTATTTTGTGCTCTACAAATGACATCTATTTTGATATTTTTGGAGCAAAATTTTTTACGGCATCTTATCACTGTCGTACTGTAATGTCACCAACAAAAGATGTGTATGATAGAGAAATTTTACAATGCTATATAGTATTGGTGCTATAGGTTTTTACCTTTATGGTACAACTTAAAATTGTACATTTACGTTATGGTACAACTTCAGATTGTACCTATACTTTTTGTACAAATTCTTTTATGGTACAACTTGAACTTGTACCTTTATGTGATGGTACAACTTCAAGTTGTAAAGTTGTACCATAATATAAGGGTACAAATTGCTTTATGGTACAACCTAAACTTATACATTTAATGTTATGGTACAACTTTAAATTGTACATTAAAGCACCAATACTATATAGCATAGTAGAAGTGCTCGTGTATGATATTAGTAACCAACCATGTGTTATATCTCTATCTCTAGGAGTATCCAAAGGTCGGCAAAGCAGCTTGTGCCATCTCAGCTTATCTTGATGTGGCCTAATTGTCCGTCATACCTTTTTAACATACAACTTCAGCATTGAAGAACCATCCCAATAGAACGATCCCAAAATTTATTGCATAGAAAAATCAGATATTTTGTGCTCTCCAAGTTCAAAATCTTCCTTCACATTTTGAAGCCCATAGAGACTGGCACGATTGAGGCAGTTGCAATGCAGTTAAAAGCGCGTATCTATTTAGAAGCGAAAAATGGGTAAAATCGTACAACGTAGAATCAAAGCATAAAGCGTAAGTTTTTGACGCACCCTCTAAAATAGCTAAAATATGTTAAGTACAACATATAGTATGTAAAATGTGAGTGTGTAGATTTTAGATAAGTGAATAACTACATGAAATTCATAATTAAAATGTAATATCTAACACATAAACTAATTTGTGTTGACTCAAAAGTAGAGAAAACTCATAACATCTTAATAATAAGCTCATAAACGTAGATCGTAACCCGTAAACAAGCTTGAGAATCCAAATTCTCATAAGCTGGTTTGAGTTTACATAATTATATACGATCAATTACCCATAAACTTTTATCGTAACCCAGGTGAGAGCCACAGGTGAAGATTAAGGGAGAAGACTGATAGAAAGGTCAACGACTATTGAGAATACCATTAGGTGTCTTTTCAACTTAATGTGAAGCCCCTATCTCGACACTAGTTGTAGAACGAGTGATGAATCATGTTTTCCTTTTTTTATTTTTTGCTGATATGTCTCCAAAACTACATCATTTTGGGCCAATTAGCACATTTTTATGAGATGATCAAATCGTATAAAAACCCTTCAGAATCGCGATTTTACCGATTTTAAGCGATTTTACCAATTTTACCCATGTTTTTACCAATTTTTGTGACTAAGCGACTTTAGGTAGAAACTGAAACATTTTGGTGGCCTGCATACGTAAAAACATAAATTTTACGTTTTAATGCGCGATTTTGACTGCACTGGGCAGTTGTGAAGAATATAATTGCCCCAAACATAGCAGTTAAAATCTGGATTTTACATAAAATCGAAAATGGAGGTAAAATCGGAATCGTAAAATCAAAACGTAAAATTGTAAGATTTTAATGATTAATCGCGAATAGTCTAGGATTTTAAGGTTCTTAGATTTTATAGTGAAATCATGATCTGATAGAACCGCATAATTGGCTCTATCTAGGGATTGAGAACTTGGGGATCAATGAGGGCTTGATTTTCCTTTTAGACCAAAGAATGAAAGTTGGTGTTGATTTAGAAGGAAGAGGGAGGGGAAAGGATGTTGCGGTAGCAACCTAGAGAGAAAGAGAGGACACGACAGAGAGGGAAAGGAAGGGAGGAAGATTAGGGTTTGCTGAATATTTGTTTTCTAATTGTTGAATGAGTGATCCCACTAATTATATAATATATATCCCCGATAACAACCTTTTTTCTACCCAACTAATACGACTTAATGAAACTCCCTAAGTATTCCCAAAACCCCCCAAATAATCCATAAACTTCTCAATATATGAATAAATGATAAATAATGCCAAATAACAAAACAAGCAAATAATTATGTTTCTATCATCCCTCCCTACTTTGAAACAACCTTGCCCTCAAGGTTACTCCAACTCATCCTTCCGCTCCTCGTTCTCCATGGCCGTCCATTCCTCTGCCTCGTCTTCCCAACGTCACACCAGCATCGTTAGTTCTGGTTTAGCGCACTGATGACCAAAGGTGAACCTCTCATCGCAATTGAAGCACTTCTCTTCCCACCTCTTCTGCTCAATCTCTGCATGAGATAATTTGACAAACCATTTCAGATTCGCTCGAGGTCCCGCTCCTCCTCCATTGCCACCAGCTGTGATTCAACTAGCTCCTCCACTAGACTTCTGGAAGCGCCCTACGGTACTCCGCCATGTAACAATCTCTTCCTCTTTACGCTCTGCAATGCAAAAGGCAATCCTCAAGGAGTCAGGCTCAAATACCATCATTGCCACTGCAATATCTGGTCGCATGCCCGCCAAACATGTGCATACCAAAGTCTCTTCCGGAACCCCCTTGCACATGTTTCTCAACTTGAGGAACTTTACTTGGTAGTCGGCCATAGTCCCGGTCTGTTTCAGCTTTGCTAGCTGCTCGAAAGCCCACCCCTCCGAGCGCCTGAACTCATAACGTAGCTCCTCCTGGAAACAAGGCCATGTAATCGGGGTTTCCGCCTTCGCATATGATCGCTTGACTCACTCCTACTGTCACTCTAGAAAATGGCCAAGTGTAACCACTTCCTAAAGCGTAGTATAGCGGGTTTGGGTTTTATTATCAACCCGGGTCCTAGATGTGATGACTACTCAGTGAATTCGTATTATCTAGCAATGAAACTTTAGTGAAGATCTAAACTAACAAGCAAGCAAAGCAACTAAACGGTTGTTTTCAAGTTAAGAGAGGTCACCCGGATATGGTTCCCCCTAGTCTGCAGTTAAGCCGGATTGTAATTACCAAGTTCAATTTCTATGATAGTTATACTGCGGAAGGTTCTCAAACAGTCTGAAGTCTCGACTAAAGGTCTTCAGACCCTCTCAATCTGAGTCTCTAGCGGGCGACTAACCTCCACCGGAGTAAACAGATTGAGGCACTAACGAACCAAACCTCCACTACCGAATGGAATTCGGTACAGAATAGCGAATTGGCTCCTCGATTAAAGTCACCAATTCGCCACCTTCAATCAAGGATACTCTATTAACCTAGGCAGATATTCTCATTCTAGGTTAAAGTAGAAACAACAGGAATTTGATCAGGATTCAAGTCATTCAATCATTCAAACCTCAATCGAATATAATCAAATCATAGAAACAGTACTTGGGTTCATACAATCAAACCTAACATACAGATCTAGGGTTTCCCACACCCAGATGAATGGGAGAACTACTCCATGGAGAAGGAAGCAAAAGCAGAATCAGACGCAGAAATCATACTGTGAAGATGGATTTCTGCTCCTGGACGTTGAATCGGCACCTCTCCAAGCTCAAGCCAAGCTCCAATGGTGTTGAAGATCAAGCTAGGGCACTTGGAGACTCTTGTTCGTCGCTTTCTCTCTCTAGGAATCGTTCTGTCTCTCCAAAACTCGAATC